ATACATTTCCAATCTTCTTCAGGTACTCATTTTAAAGTGTTTGTGTTAGTGCAATAGAAATATATATAGCACAACAAAATTGTTTAAATAAAATATATTTAATTCAATCTCAGAAATAAATTATAATGTTGAATATTTATGATAAGTAGTTGATCTTAATCAAATTAGTATAGTAGTATGTAATATAGCATGACTCAAAATAAAAGAGGGTAATTTTAATCTCATAAGTAGCCGTCTAACAATCAAACATATGCTTGATAAGAGATTCAATTAAATTATTTGGTATATGTGTATAAGGAATTGGTTGCTTAACAATAATCTCAATTAATAAATAATAATCATTAAATGATTGAGATGTAAATTTTTCTACATTATAAAGTTAGATTTTTGTATTGCATGACTAGGAAATTATGTCCTTAATTTCATTATTTGTGTAAGAAGTTTTGCAAATGCAAATAATAGGCAAATATGTAACCATTTTGTTGAAACATTTATCAATATCATAAAATATTAAAATGGTTCATATGGCAGGTCTATATATTTCCTGAAATCCATTTCAAAAATGAAGGAAATTCATTTTTTATTTTATCACTTAATAAAACTTTCAAGTTCTTTAGTAAGTATCCATATGAACTTTTTATAATTCTTCGCATCAAAATTACACTCAAATGACCAAGTCAATTATGCCAAAGGATAAAGACACCTAAATTAATTAGTTTCTTGCTAGCCACAACATTGGATTTGATAGATGTTGCATATATAATACAATCCAGAAGAGAAAGCTAATATTTTCTCTAATATATTTTTTTCTAAATGCAAAAGTTGTGATATGAAGAATCTTATTTTGTTTTCATTCATGGTTTTAATGTAAAAACTATTATGATGTATAGCTTTAAAAGATCAACTAAAGTTTAAAGTGTTATCTGTTAATAATTTTATCTCTTCAGTTAATTAAACACAAGCTTTTCTAAAGTTTTCAATCAAATTTATCATACTAGATGTCTTATTATCCATTGGCTTAGTCATTTCAAGAGGCTATTGTCTTCCTTTAATAACCATCTTTTCATACCAAATTTATACTCTATATTAATGTGTTTATTTGATTGTATTTTTTTAAATATCTATCTTTATGTATAAAACTATAAATAAACTTGCATTTACTTTAATTTTTTATTGAATACAACTTACTATATTATTTAAGATATTGAAACCTCACACATAATTTTATTATAAATTACTAATTGACTTTTTTTTTCTTTAATAATTTTCAATGTATATATTTATTGAAAAACTGTTATTATTAAATATCTTCTACTCGGTTTATTTTCACAATCTACTAGTTGTATTTAAATATATTTTCTTCAATCACTAGTTATTAATGAACTTTAACTATATTTAACAATTTAATTAATATATTCTCTATAAATTAAATATCTAGGCTCATAAAAAGTAAAGCCAATTTTACCATTCTTGAATATAAATAAATATTATTATTAGTACCTGGTTTTGTGGATAAAGGATTCACTTGGTCTAAGTGGATTACAACAACTATTTATTATAATTAGCGATTGACAAGAGTTATTATTTGTATGAATATTAGCTTCAATTGACTTTAATTGAAAAAAACATTTTTTATTTTTCAAAATGGTATGTGTTGTGCCATTGTCAATAAAACATAGGTCTCCATTATTGATCTTAACATCAAATAAATTCATTTGGTCTTAAAATGAAAATAAAGGAAACAAAAGAAAATTTTCAAATATTGTAAAAGCAATATATGTGTTATAAAATAATTTAGGATAATTAATAGTATACCCTTTAATTCAATACACTCCACAACACAGTAATTTAAAAATTATTATTTTCAAATTCGAATTTAAGGCAGAAAAAATTTCAAGTGCAAATTTTAATAGCTAAATCGATGGATATTGATAAGTTTGTAGAATTGGAGAATGTATTTTCCAATAATTTATCATTTTATTGAATATAAAAGGACATAACATGTAAAAAAGGAAATAGTTGTTTAGGGCAAACTACTTGAAAAGACATAATAAGTCAAACACTTGGTTGGGTATTTCCGTCATCAACATCATTAAACATTTCAACACCTTTAAAACAAAATCTACAACATCAAGATATATATCAAAATCTATATTGTTATCTTAAATGAAATTCATTTTTGTAT